ACAGTTTAACTTCTTTCTTACCAATTTGGATGCCTTTTATCTCTTTTGTGTTATCTGATTGTCATGGTTAGGATCTCTAGCACACTATGTTGAGTAATAGTTGAGCACCTTGGCTTTTAGGGAAAAGCAAGATAGGGACCACAGACTTCAAGGTAAGAGGACAAAGAACAAAGTAAGATTCTTTCTTGTCTATTTAAAAAAATTTTTACTTTAGTAAAATATACATAGAGTTAAATTTACAATTTTAGTTATTCTTAAGTATACAATTCACTGATATTAAGTCTATTACAGTATTGTACAACCATCATCACTGTCCATTTCTGGGACTTCATCATCATCCCAAGCATAATCTCTATACCCATTAAACAAGAAGACCCCCATCCCCTTTCTCTCTTTTTTTGATGCATTTGTTGTAGTTTTTTTTGCCTCTGTTAGGTAATCAGCTAATTAGCTAATTTTCTTTCTCTTCCATCAAGATTACAGCCTTTAATAATTTATTATACAGTAGTAACTTTCTGCTTCTAATCTGCTGTTCACTCAGAAACATTATTTAGTTTATTAACATTGTATGTAAAGTAAGAGTTAATAAAACTTCTTATCCCTAAAAGCCTTTCCTCTGCAAAGAACTAGGACTTTGTGATAGCTACTTCAACTATTAAAAGACCTTTGCTTCCTTAGTTCCTAGACATTCCCAAAGGGTTTATATTATTGAAAGTCAGACTTATGGAAAAGTGGTGTATTATTGTTTTAAAGACAATGATAAATTAATAGACAAATACCTAGAAATGCCTTTTGTCTTGTATTTTGAAAAAAGCTTTCATTTAGTAAGTTCTACAACTAGTTGGTTTCCTTTTAAGGAGAAGTTTGCTTAATGCTTTTACAATATGAGTGATTGTGGGACTAAGACCATAAACACCTCAGAAAGCACAGCTATCAACAAAGTAAGTTTATTTTTGATGCAATTGTGAATGGAATTGATTTTCTGATGTCTCTTTCTGCTAATGTCTCCATAAGCTCATAATTAATGTCTCCATAAGCTCACCTGGGCTTGACAGCTCACATCATTAGTGTTTGTTTTAATATCCAAGATTCTTCTTTTCCAGGTATTTGATTTCACTACCCTAGACTTGACATCGGAGACTGATGAAATTCCAGACATTATAGCTTTGGAAGAGGAGCATGGATCACATCATTCACATGCTAACAGCCCTGAGTCCTCTCAGGGCAAAATGTTGAATAACTAATAGCAATATACTCCCTTCCACTGAATACACAATTTTTATCACATTAAACTTCACGTTTGTTCATGTGTTTATTTTTGTGGCTTTGGGGATTAATCTATTGTTGGTTAATCTATTTATCGGCTATTTGGTCTTAATTGTAACAAAACTCTGATCGATCATTTTATGTAGTTCTTCAAAGTTTAATCATTGAAATGCCTATAATAAAATATTGGGCTGTATAATCTTAAATCAGAGTGATTTATTTTATTTTATCTTTTTTTACTGACATAGTGGACTTTTTTTTTTTTGCTTCCCAGGATTCATTCCTACTTCTGGTAATAACACCCTCATGTCTTTTGGCGGAGGGGAGGTAGTCTTGGTATGTCTGTTGATCAAGGTTTTTTTTGCTTTACTCTAGCCTAGGAGTGGGCATATGACTAAAAACAGAGCAACTGGGAGGTAGTGCATCATGATGGGTAAATTAGGATCAGACTTTGGGTTTTAATATTGGTTCTACCACTTACTAGTTGTGTGACCTTAAACAAGTTACTGAATTTCTCTGTATCTCAATTTCCTCATATGTAAAATGGGGATATTGTAGGTTTGTTATGAAAAAAATTAACATTTGAAAACTTTAGAGTAATACCTGGCACAGGGCAGTAATAAATATTAGTTACGAAAAGTGGAGAAACAGATGGCAAATCTAGTAGCAGTGAGCAAACCTAGTGTCCAGATTGTAGTTTTGAAATACCTTTTCCCTCTAAAATAAATAATAACTTCTTAGAGAAAAATTCCAGGTCTGAGGCACAAAGTGTACAGAGTGAGCCTTGAACTTTTTGCTATTGCAAAAAGGAAGTACATTTGATGAGGTTCCCATTTACGAAAGATAAGACAATTTGAACTTCAGTAAGGATAGTGACTGCAACAGATTGGACCCCATCAAATGTAAACCCCATTAAAGATCCAAATATATCATTACATATATAAACAGCCTAACTGATCACCTTCAGGGGATGATAGCAAACCAATTCATTATCTTGAGAACTGGTAAATAAAAGGAAAGAATCAAGAATTTATCCTTCCTTGTATCTTTACCACTAGATAAACAAACAGTAAATGAGGGAAAATTTCTCTCATAAAATTCCTGCTAACAAATGAAAAAGAAATGATATTTTCATTTGGACTGCTATAACAGATTACTTTAGAATGTGTGGTGTAAATAACAAACATTTATTTCTCATGGTTTTGGAAGTTGGAAATTTGAGATCAGGGTGCCAGCCAGCATGATTGGGTTTTAGTGAGGGTCTCTTTCAGGTTGCAGAAAGTCAACTTCTCTTTGTATATTTACATGATAGAAAGAAAGAGGAAGCAAGCTCTCTTATAAGGGCATCAATCCCAGTCATGTGGGCTCCACCGTTATAACCTTGTTTAATCCTAATTACCTCCCAAAGGTCTCATCTTTTAATATTGTCACATTGAGGAGCAGGGTTTCAACACAGAATTTTGAGGGGACACAAACATTCAGTCGATGACACATAATAAATTAGAATTTCAACATATTGCAATCCCCAGTAAATTAGTGAATCTAGGTGTTTAGCACTGATGCCTGTTAATGGCATAAATAGAGATATTATGTACTGCCTGATGAAAGAACATATACTAACCATCATCCAGTCTTCTCCAAAGGATCATACCTGAGTCTGATCAGTCCTCTGGATCCAGGTGCCAATTTGAAGGAAATGCAGAGGATAGGGAGGGTGGAAGATTTTGGACTGTACCATAAAGATGTAATCAGTAAAACCCAGGTTATGGGAAAATATTTAGGTCAAATAACCTCCGTTCTTCACCAGACAAATTTTAAGAAGAAGGTGGCGGTGGGGTGCATAGAGGAAAACTTGTATATTAAATTAAATCGTTTAAAAAAAAACAAGGAAAGACTAAAAACAAGAAAACAAAAAAAGGCAAGACAAAAAAGAGGGCAAGACTATAGGAGAGCACATTTGGGTGGTAAAACTACAAGACATTGCAAGGAAATGATTACTACAAAATTGAGAATGGTGGTTCCTTTTTGGGAAAGGAGGGGATTTTTGGATGGCTGGAAAAGTTTGATTTCTTGTCCAGGGTGGTAGTTACATAATACATTAAACTATTTTTAAAAAGTTAATTGGACTTGCCTGGGATATAAATCTTGAGTGGAGTGGCACAGGGGCCTGCCATTTCCTGAAACTTATCCTCTGGCCTTTATTTATGCTATTTAGTACCCATTTATTAAAACTCCTTTAGAGTCAGTTTTGCTGCTTACAGCCAAAGAATGCTAGCCAATACAAGTGATCTTGGCAAGTTACCAGTATTGGTGGGGTGGGTATAGATAACTTTTTGAAGATGTTTTGTTATGATGAGAAATGGAATGGTATCAGGAAGGCATTGAGGTCAAAGGATATTTTGTTTTAATGACAGAAGATACTATGGTGTGTTTGCTGCTGGGACGAGCTGATTGTAGGAGGGAGTACAGAACAAATTCTGGAGCAAACTCCTTGAGTAGGAGAAAAGGAATATGATCCATCAAACAAGTGAAAGGACTGCTTTTAGATAGGCACACCTTGATTCACCCAGATTAACAAGAGAAGGAAGACTATATGGACAAAGATGTAAGCAGGTGTGTAAATTGTTGATGGTAGTTCTTTTCCAGAAGCACCTATTAATTAAGAACAAAAATCATTAAGAGTGAGGAGGGGAAAGGACAGACTGGAAGTTTAAGGGAGGGAAGAAGGTATGTATAATTGTGTGGAGAGTTAGATTATAGTGTAGCGTGAAGAGGCAGGCCTAAGAGCTCATTTCAGTTATTGCCAATTTTGAGTGACACTGGGCATCACAATTGTATTTAGCTGCCAAGCTGAAAGTGTGGATTAGGCAGAGAACTGGATTTAATGCAGATCTGGGTTCTGCCAGATAAATCTGGCAAAGGGAGAAAAAAAGGCCAGATAGCTGAGAAGAGGCCAAGGAGTTGAGTAGCCCTGACCTTGGAAAGGTCACCTACATGGATACTAAAATCACCAAAAACTATCGTAGGAGTCACGTTGGAGAGACAGAGAATTAAATGCTAAAACTTTTCAGAATGAAGTCCAGCAACTCGATTTTAACATGACCTCAGCAAGTAGAGTTGTAGGTGATAGCATAAACTTCAAAGGAGCTGGTTTTAGTGAGGCAATAATCGCCAGAGGTGGCAATGAGAAGTAGGTTATCTCAACCTCCACCTCATTTCTAGGCCCTATTGTACATGGGTTGTGGGAGAAAATACAGTCATCAATTGAGGGCTGCAGGGGGATCCTGTACGCTTAGCAGGGAGCTAGATTTCTTAGTGCAAAAAGATGAAAGAAACATTCAGTATTTGCGTGCATAGATTTTACTATGATAATAGACTTGGGGCTCAGAAATTAGGTGATTTGTTCGTGGCCACTCAGCTGGCGAGAATGGCTGAGAATTGAACCCAGTACTTCTACTACACCGAGCCCCAGTCCTCCACGTACGGCTTTTATCTGACGAAATAAGCACAAAGGAATAAAAGGCACTGCAAAGGGCTCAGAATGTGCGAAGCCCATGAACAAGACGCTGCCGGCGGATACGCAAGCTCAAGAAAATCCGCTGGCTGCGCAAAGCGCGGTGGGGTCTTGCATTTTCTCCTGGGGGTGTGATGGGAGGGGCCAGAGAGAAGGACGCATTGCATGGCGGGAGATGCAGTCCGCCCCGGAAGTCCCTCCTCCTCCGGGACCTCTGAGAGGTGGTGGATACCCCTCTTCCGGAAGCGCGAGAGTCGGTGTTTTTGGCGGCTTCTTTTAGGCAGCTATGGAGTACTACCAATAGAGGCTCCATTTCCCAGAGACTTTACGGCCGTTTGAGGCAAAATGGCTCCGGGCGAAAGAGGAGCCGGCGGTGGCAGAGGAGGGGCCGCTTCTACCTAAGGATCCTAAGGAAGAGAGCCCGAGGACACCCGAGTGGTTTGGGCCTGCGAAGATGAGCTTGGCTTGGGTCAACTCTTTCGAGAAGGAGCATCTCTGGATGTATCTGCAGGCGCTCGGCTTCGACCCAGGCCCGGCGGCCGTTGCCTGCGGAAAGATCGTGTCGCACATACACCTCGGAGTGTAAGGATGCCGAGGCGGCCGGGCGCGGGAGTCTGAGGCTGGACGCGCTGGGCGGACCCGCCCTTTCGCGGACCTCGCAGATTGAAGGATCTAGTAGTCGAGCAGTTACAGGGTGCTAGGCACTGGCAACAAAGCCCGTGTCCAGTGGTTGCTACCGTGTTGGCAGAGACTGTATCGGTTTCGGGAACACTTATTTGGAAAACCTTTTTAGAGTCTGCATTTGGGGCAAAACTGGAGGGATAGCTTACTCCTCCTGCTTTGGTGGTAATACTGGGTGGTCTGTGAAGTCGAGGGAAGGGTGGCGAGTTGGTAGTGGAAGGACATGGGAACAGCATGTTAAACGGCGTTAGGACTCAAGGGAGCCTTTTCAAGGTGGTTGCTTTTTAGTTTACAATTTTTACTTTTTTAATTAAATAATTAACATACTTGCCGGAAAAAAAAGTTAGAGAAGGGTAATAAAGTGAAAAGTAAGAGCCTTTTCTCTACTTTCCCCTAATGTTACGATTATGATCGTAAGTCTAACTACTTTGTTTAATATTGCTGTGTTTTGACATACCAGTTTTAGACAGTATCTATTACCTTTCCCACTATAGGCCATGAGAAATTGGGGATACATAGGCTATCTCACGTTCTCTTAAATCTTCTTGACTTTTGCAATTAATATTATTTTCTTCTAGTGGCAAGCTTAGACCTCTATTTCTTGATGTATCAATCTCAAAAGTATCTCCTGATTCCTTACTATGTAATTTCACAATGAAGGTAGCTGTTATTTATCAGATAATTAGGTCACCTACACTTTTGTACCCTCCTCTGCTTTTTTCTTCTTCTTTACGTTTTTCAGCTGTATTATAACTTCTGTCAAGGTTTAGAGCTGTAGATACGTTTTATTTGGTAACTGTTTAGAAGTTACTACTATTCTAAAAATTGACAACCAGCTGATAGCATTGGTCAGTATGTGTGTGTGTGTGTGTGTGTGTGTGTGTGTGTGTGTGTGTGTATATATATATATACATATATATATACATATACTCACATGATTTGATGCTCCACAGTATTGGCAGGGAAGCTTAAAGCTTCAGGTCTCTACTGAGAATAGTTTCCATTGCCATTGCATCCTTCTCTCCAGTGTTTTAGCAATCTTACTTTACTCTGCTTTGGTTTATCCAATTGCAGTCTGCTTTCTGCCTTTGAAAATTAGTTAAAATCTGTCAGTGCTGGTCTGCTGATGGCAGGTTAATTAATTTATTTTCTTAGAGTCATTTCTGTGAGTTATGGGAGGGAGCTACTATTTTGAAACAGATGTTACCTTTAAAATGATTTAAGCATGAAAGTGGAATGAAATTTAACTTAAAACGTTAAAAAATTGTTTTATTCACTTAAATTTATATATGGTAAAATTCATTCTTTTTGGGATGCAGCCCTATGGTTTTCTAGTTTCTGTGAGCATGTAGTTGTGTAACTACTTTTCTTATAAGGTTAAACATAAATTTAACATGTGATGCAGAAATTCCATTCTGAGGTATTTGCCCAAAAGACTTGCATTTTGGAAAAATCGTCCTGGGTGCATTACAGAGAATGAATTAGAGGGGGAGTCAGTTACACAGGCTTAAATTAAGGTGGTAGTGTGATTGGAAAGAAAAGGTGATTTAGTTCATTTGGTTATTTAACAAATATTAATTGAATCCAGTATTGGGCCTGGTTATACAGTGGTGAGCAGAATAGATACAAACTTTTCCCATACAGAGAACTTCAGTCTAGTGGGTGAACAGACCTTCAACAAGTATCTTATTAAAACTTATCAGTGTCAAAGAGAACAGGATGCTATGTGAAAAAAATTACTGGTTTGAGATGATAAGATGGTGGGAACTTCATTTTTGTTTGCTGAGGAATAGAAACATTCCAAGGACAAGAAGAGTTGTTTGACTTACAGATAAACATGGGAACGTTTAATGTTAACTTTTTTTTTTAGCTCAAGAAAATCGTTTTCTTTGTTCACTGGAGTACTCATATCTGTTTGTCATGCATTCCAGTGTCCCACAGCCCCTTTCTTAATTGACTGCCTCCTGAACCCAGTTTCTTTTTGGAGTCTGAAAACATTCAATCACCCAAGTGAACTCTCTCTTCATATCATTGTTGAAATTGTATTAAACATGAGCTATCTCAGCTCCCTGTTCTAAATGTTAAGAATATTTTATATTAGCAGAAGGAGAGAATATCCATAGGTATATTCTGTTGTGTTCTAGTGAATTTTTGTTCGTTCTTTTTAATAATGTCTTGAGACCTTTCCTTTTAGTTATTTGGTTCACTTGCTTTTAACTTCTTTTGATACTTCAGTGGAAAACCATTCTCTTTTGCATCCATGCAAATGACCTTTTAGTACTCGAGTAATGGAGGAGTGGTCTCATAATATTTTGTTAATTTTGACAGGTTATTTCTTTTTTTTCTTAAGTGTAAACACTCACTTCTATTGGGATATTTGTTCCACTTTTATCCCCTTCTTGCATATCCAGAGAACTTACATTGCTTTATTTTCCATACTAGTCTCCACACTTCACCAGGACTTTGAAAAATGATAACTATACCTCCATGCCAAGTGTGACTTGTTTTGCCTTGGGAATTGCCAAAATAAACCTTTAAATCCTGCAGGTGGGCCATGCAGCAGAACAGGTATCTGAAGTGGATCATCTCTATCAGCCGGTTGCTACCATATATGAAATTCAGAAAACTCTGCTTCCCTTGGCCCTGGCAATCCACAGAGTCTGAATTTTCCACTTCTTACCAGACACCTGCACAACCCCAGGAGTCTGGCCAGAGGTGTGAGAAGTGGATATTGAGTGTAGAGCCTTCAGTATTTGATGACCCTGACTCAGTGGCTGTCATGTTAACTGTTGATTCTTTATAGTTGTGTGACATTTCTTACAAGGCTTAGGTTTTTTTGCTTCATTTTTATTGTTTACACATTCTATTTTTTTAGGCTTTGTTGTGATTAGTTAGGGAAATGAGGACAATAAAAACTGTAAGGGACTTGCTAGAATTACAGTATAAGATCATCCTGAGAATAAAATGTAAGGGTAAAGACCCTGGACTCTGGGGTCTAAATAATGAGAAAATTAATTTGACTTGACCCTTTAAAGAGAATGAAAAATATTAATTTGTGTCAAACTCGTATATAGCTTTTGATGACGTTTAGTCATATTAACTATTTTCTGTTTTTTTTTTCCTGTTTAAACCACTAGGGACATGTTTGATAAGCTGAACCGTGATGCCTTTCATATAGTTTCTTATTTTTTGTTTGAAACATTGGACCAGTCTCTCACCAAAGAAGTTTTCAAGTGAGTAGAAGTTGTTTCATTTTCTCTTTGTAAGTAGTCATTCTCAAATTTGAAAAGGGACTATGCATTAATATTAGCAAGAATTTCAGCTTTGGCCTTTGACTGTTACATGGAATGGATGTCACAAAAGTCAGGTTTGCTTTTGTTTTATAAATTAGTTCCTAACATTCCTCATAGTCTTAATTATTAGAGAAAACAATTAACTGGTACCAATCTATGTACTTAATTTTGCCTTACTCATTTATTTATTTGCTAATTACCTACTGCTTAACCTCTTCTTGTACTTCTTTTGTCTATTTTTGCTTTCTAGGTCTCTGTAAATCCTTATGCTTGTCAAAGACATATAGTAAAGTGTCAAGTGCTTTAGGCAAAAAACATTCCTATTAAGTATAGCCTATTATATACTGTTGAATATTAAATAGTTTAAGAAGGAGATTAAAATGTAAAAACTAGCCTTGGTTCCAAGTTATTCTGTATATTATTTGGATGTCTTCTGTCAGGAAAAGTGTTCATATTTGTTCTGATGCTTATATTGTGCTGTTATCCTCTTACATAGAAAAGCAAGCCCATTGCTTTAGGCATTGTTTTTATTTTTGATAATTGATTCTTGATGTTTTGCTTTCAATTAAAGTGTTGAATGACTACGAGAATGGGTATATTTGAAACATCTTTTTGAAATCTCTATCATTAAGGCATAGGGTTTTCTCTGCCCAAATAAAAATAGATTTTCTGATTTTTTTTCCTGATTACTATCAAAATACAACTTACTTTATGTAATTCAGAAAATAAAGAAAAATGGAAAGAAGGAAATATGAAAATTGTCCCTAACTTTTGTCTATGAATATAGAATTTATGTTATGCCATTGAAATATAAAAAATATGGGGCCCTAAACAAATAATTATGCCTCAGAATAAAAACTTAGATGAAACTGATTATCAGGGGAAAGCAATAAGTAAAGTTTAAAACCTGTCATTTTTAACTAAACCTGAGATAAAACTTTTTTTTTTGAATAATTTTATATCTTGTTTATCCACTAAACAGTAGTAGCACCCACTGACTATCAAATAGGATATAGGTTATCTGTAGGAGTAAAAAGCTTTCATGTCATTCCTTCTCCTGTGCTCTTCAAGTGTAACTATTTATGTTTCTCTTTTTACCCTCAAGGTTAACATTCTAATTTATTTATGCCATCTTTATGCATTAGTCCAGTGAATCATTGAGTATTGTCCTCTTTAGCTGACTTCCAGTAATTTTAATAGTGATTCCTTCCTTCTTTTAATATATGTATTCACTGAGTATTTGCTCGAAACAGAACTCAAGCCTATAGATATTTATAAAGAAAAATACCTAATTTCTCACAGGTTGGTGTTCCTCTTTAGTTGAAATCTACAAATGTTAGCCTTGGTTCATTTAGCATTAATGTTAGTGTAGGAGATAAATTTTGTTTTTAAATTTTTCTGAGATTTTTTTTTGCTCATAATTCTAATACTTTTATATATTTTTTTAAAGACTTTGTTGGCCTCCATTTGACCAAAGAAGTGATACTGAATTCCGGAAACATTGCTGTGAATGGTTAAAAAAGATTTCTGTAAGTATTCTTTTTCTGGAAGATGCAAACTTTGAGAATGTGAAAACTACATTAATTTTTTTCCCTTGCTTTATTGAGATATAATTGCACATTAAATTTTAGAGGTGATTATCTTCTTAATGCCTTTATGCTGACAAAGCATAGTATAAGCAAGTATAAGCAAGGAAATATTAATTAGAATGATACTTTTTAATGGTTTTTGGTTGTGATGCTATATATTTCTGGGAAACCAGCTTGCTGGCTATGTGCATTGGAAATAGAAATTTGAGTTCCTGCCAGTTTATATCACAGTTCTGTTTAAAGAAAACTTTTGACCTTGGATAATTTTAGCTTGTGTTCCCAAATAGTGTCAGTAATTGTGGCTCTATATTGTAATTATTTTTTGTGACCAAGTCCACCAAGAGTTTACAAAGATTCAAAAATTCACCTTCTGGCAAATGGAATAATCCTGATCAATCCTATTATGTTTCAAAAACAGTATGATGTAAATATAAAGATTATCGTTGAAAGGTTTCAAATAATCTTACTTCTTTTTTCCACAGGCTGAATGTGGGAGTAACTTTCCTCAAGTTGTTGGTTCACTATTTCTTTCTCCTGGGGGTCCTAAGTTTATTCATCTGATGTATCATTTTGCAAAATTCGTTGCGATAAAATACATAAAAACCCAATCTAAAAGTAAGTTAAATTTATAGTAGGAAATACTTTGTTTTATTTCTTAAGTTTTTATTATTCACAATTTGTAAATCCTCAAGCTATTTTAATAAAGCAAGGTAAGAGAAAAACTTAATTTACCTCAAAAGGTGAATTGTTAGTATTCTATTGGAACCATAGTTTGAAATTTTCTCTTAATGAACATAAGTAACTATTATGTTTTAATACAGGGGTTGATAGTAAATATTTTAGGCTTTGTGGATCATACAGAGTCTCTGTCACATATACCTATCTTGAGTTTTTGTTTTTAATACAACTCTTTAAAAATAGAAAACATTCCTTGCTGACCTCACAAAAACAGCCAGTGAGGTTAGACCACGTTTGCCTCTAATACATTACATGAAATGCGTTGAATTTGTTTGAGGTTTATTTTAGCTATTGGCTATGTTGGAAGTTTTTGTTGGAAATTGCTGTTTTAAAGGAATTTCGACCTATTTGCTAATTAACAGAAACAAAATATTGGATCTTCTAGCTGACTTAAAAGAATGTTATTTGTAGCTTATTTAATATACTGCTCTGTTTAATTGGTGTATGTTCATTAAATAGGTACAGGAAAATACAGAAAAGTTGATCCAGTAAGCCCCATCCATCTTCTAATTTCTAGAGATACCATTATTGACATTTCAAAAAATTTATTTATATATTTATTTTAATGCACATGTTATGTCTATACATTTTACCTATTTTGAGTAGATACTATTTCTCATGATTCGGAAATCAAAAGGTAAAAAGTCTATTTTCCATCTCTGTTCTCTTATTATTTAGTTAGGTTGAAAGTTGTTTCATATTTTCAAGAGCAATTTATACTCTTTTTGTACTTTCTGTTCACATGCTTTGTCCAATTTTCTATTATTGGTCTTTTTCATTTGTAGGAGTTTTTATTAATGTCCCTTTTGTGATGTGACATGTAAACCTTTTTTTTTGCAGTTTATCTTTTATGCACGATTTTTTAAATACATGTGATCTTGCTTTATAAGCATTTACTTATTCTAAATTTAATGTAACATCAGCATTTTACCAATTTTTAAATTCTAACTGAAGTATGGTTGATATATAATCTTGTATTAGTTTCAAGTATACAACACAGTGGTTCACCAGTTACCTATCTTATTAAATCCTCACACTCACTAGTGTGGTTACTATCTGTCAACCTAGGAAGATGTTACAGACCAGTTTCTCTAGTAGATGATCTACTCCAATTACATGTAACCCAAAAAAACTCTTATATGAAATATGTGTGTTTGGATTTAGAAGGAGTTCATTGTGCATAAGGTTTCTAAGCATGGGTTGTCCCATTTCTGATTTAAAACAAATCCAGTCAGGATTTTAGTCTTTTGGTGACTTTATACTCAGTAAATTTATCCCAGTAAATATTTAGAAATGGAAGTTTCTTTGGAGGGTAATGTTAGTACCTGAATTAATAATGTTAGGTATAGTGTGGGGCCACTGTTCTAGGCCATCCATCTTTATTACATTGAGTCATTTTAAGGTAGGACTTGCTACATGTATTATAGGTAAAAATATGGACTCTGAAATGTTTGGGTGATTGTTATCAGGGCCTGCTTTGATCATTAGTAACAGAGACAAGAGTTACTTGAGAAGTGCAGACTCGTTTTATTTGGTTGTCCTGTCCTGTTGCTCTTACTATAAGTGTGCTGATGATAGCATTGGAGGTGATGTGATCTCACCTCATCTCTCTTAACTGATTGTCTTCCTTTGTTGTTAAGAGGTCTTGTTAGGAAGTTGCTCATGTGTGACAATGTATTTGTTCATGGATACATGAACCTGTGATAATAAGAATTATTTTGGGCAGGTGCAGTCTCAAGGTTTTTAATTATGTAAAACAACTTCAGATACCCTTTTTTAATTATTTGCTTTAAAAGTAGCTCATCCTCACTTTTGTTGAAGTTAGTTGTTTTTGTGTATATGTCATACCAGCTTTTAAGGAGTTGTTAGTTATAGGAAGTTGTTAATGTCTTAAAATTAAGAAAATTCAATGTTTTTGATACTTATCAGCTTGTAAGTCTAAGTTTTCTATGACCTTATTTGTGTTCTATGTAGATTCTTCTGTACATTTTACAGAGATATTTAATATAAAGCCACAAGATTTGAATAAGTGCACTGCCAGATCCCATATAGCACGTAACAGATTTTTACAAATTTTGCAAAGAGAAGATTGTGTTATCCGAAAATATCAGGAAAATGCACAGTAAGTAATACTTGAATAGTTAGAAAATGAAAATGCCTTTATTTTTAAACAGATGTCATCAATAATCCATGCTCACGTCAAAACCTGCTGGCTGTTATCTTTCCATTTTCAATCCAGATAATTTCTGAGTAAAATGATTTAAAACACTAAGCACATTGTAAGTTGAAGTTTAGAGAAAAGAAAAAGATAGTCTTAGTTCAAAAATCCAATTTCTTAGGTTTCTTTTTAGCATGGGTATACATTTTTAAGCTCTAATTGTAGTATCGTTTTTTCTTGACCGCCATAGTGTTTTGTTTTTAATGTATGCTTAATAGTCTCTTGAGTATCCATTAAGTAGACACTCCTTCACATAGGTATTCTGTAGTTTCTTTAACCATTTCATACTGTTTTATATTTAGGTTCATCTATTTAACAGATTTTTTTTTTTAGTAACTTCAGTGAGCCAGATACTATTTAGTCACTGGGCTTACAGCTTTAAACAAGATAGTCAGGGTTCTTATTCTCAAGAAATAGATTGTGTCTAATTTTTTTTACAATTAGAATTAACTACAGTGAGATAACCTTTTAAATGCTCTGTTATCTATTATGAAAGCTACAGGAGCCTTTGAAATTGCCTTAAAATTGCAGTGTTGCCTGACATAGATAAAGTTAAAATTTATTCCTTAGGTATGTGAGACAAGCATAAGAGAGCAGAGTAGTCTTACTTCCAACATTTTTACTCAAAGTCAGAGAGTTATATGAGCCATGTCAATAGCAGTCTGTATGTTTGATTGCTCCTGTAACTCGTACAGCAAATCTAAAGTCCATTAGCTGGCTGCTGGGTGTGTTTGGAGGAGGAGTCCTCAGAGGCCATGAACAAAGATATGAAATAGACAAATACAAAGTGCTCTATTCCAGTTAATTGTAATGGAATGATAGTTGTCATTTTGTATGTTATCTTGCAGATTGTCAGTTAAACAAGTACGAAATTTGAGGTCAGAATGTGTGGAACTGCAAAACCAAGTAAAAAAGTAAGTAACTTGCAGAGCTGAAACTTACCTTATTTTAGCTCTTGAATTTTACAGGTAAGGTAACTATGAGTCCCAGAAACAGTTAAAATAATATATCATTAGCTAGATAATGATAGGAGTAGAGCATAATTCTGATTCCTAGTCCAGTTCTACTAACAAATTATTAGTGCTTTGAGCTAGAATTTTATTCTTGTTTTTAATTAGAATGGTTGTTGGGTTTACAGATCACTTAACTCATTGGATGGAGAATTACCATGTGATTTTTTTTTTATGACTAATGAGCTTTAATTTTTAACTAGAATGGAGCCTTGTGATGACCAAACTAATACAGAAGAGAAAATTCAAAAGGTAAGACAATTTTTGAAGGGAGAAATGTAATCTTTTGTTTGTGGTATGCGAATGCTTGCTTGCTTAATTGAACCTCTTGTATTTTTCTGTCATTTCTTTTTGTGGCACCGTTACTTTTTTTTACTTGTTATAAATGATACTTATAAAGGTATCAACAGGGCACTCTAAAATGCTTTCATGTAATGGAAAAATTAGTTTATAATTTATAAGACTATATAGAAAATCAGTTTTTAAATATGGCTAATTTAAAATCTTTCATGCCAGTAAGAAAAGTTTAGCTTGACTGTGTTACTTAATCAGCAGTACTAGTTTATCTAAATAAAATACAGTAACTGGAGAGAGATGGTAAGTATCGAAGAAAAATGAGTCACATTGAGGATAGCTTGGTCGTAGGGAGGAATCTGGCAGACAAATGATCTGATATTTTCAGAGGTTGGCTATGATGTGGGATAGGAAGTGTTTTCTTAGGTCTTCTTGTGTTTAGATGAAATCTCCCTTAAGCTTTTTGTTCTGATTCTATGGTCACCAAGCTGCTTTGATTATTAATTTGGCTTTCCAGGCACTTTGTCACTGGAAAAAATGAGTGTCCTTCTCAGGAAACAATTATTCATATAGTGGACATTTATTTATCACCTGCCTTGTGCCAGACAGTCTTCTAGATTCTTGTTAGAGCTATAGCAGTGAAGAAAAAGGTAAAGTCACTTTCTTTGTGGAGTGACCAATTTAGTGAATATGAATATTCCTATTAGTGAGCACAATATCTTTGCTGGTAAATATAAATAGGTTGGGAAGCAATCTAAGTGTCCATCAGTAGATGAATGGATAAAGAAGAGGTGGTACATATACACAATGGAATATTATTCAACCATTAGAAGAAAACAAATCCTACCATTTGCAACAACATGGATGGAGCTAGAGAGTATTATGCTCAGTGAAATAAGCCAGGCAGAGAAAGACAAAAGACAAGTATCAAATGATTTCACTCATATGTGGAGTATAAGAACAAAGAAAAAAACTGAAGGAACAAAACAGCAGCAGACTCACAGAACCCAGGAATGGACTAACAGTTACCAAAGGGAAAAGGACTGGGGAGGATGGCTGGGAAGGGAGGGATAAAGGGGAAAAATGGGCATTATAATTAGCATAATGTAGGAGGCTCAGGGCATGGGGAAGGCAGTACAACACAGAGAAGACAGGTAGTGATTCTGTAGCATCTTACGCTGATGGACAGTGACTGTAATGGGGTATGTGGTGGGGACTTGATAATGGATGGAGTCTAATAACCATAATGTTGCTCATGTAATTGTATATTAATGATTCCAAAAAAAATATATATATATAAATAGGTTTGTGTGAAATCTATTGAAGTTTTTACAGCAGTCTCTCCTGAATTGGATTGATGTTCAGTTTCCCTGAGGGCAATTTTCAACCATAGTCAAGATAAACTTTCTAGACTTAAAATCTGAGAACCAGATCTTGGATTTTTGTTAAGTTCACCAAGGAAATGCCATCCTATGAGACCTCTTTCGACTGCCAGCTGATGAATCTTACTTTGGGGACAACTTTACCTTGTGCCATGGGAATACACAGACATTAACATGGGTACAATCATTGTATTTCCCCACCTCCCTGCCACTTTTGTAAATTCTTTTGAAGTTTAACATACATACAAAAAATGCAAAAATTCATAAGTGTATGACTTGACAAAATTTCACAAAGTGAACACACCCATGTATCCAACACACAGTTTAAGGAACAGAATGTTAACAGCACCTGGAAGCCTTGAGCCTCCTTTCCATTCACAACTATTTCCCCACAAGAGTAATTAATACAAGCCTCACTTCATACAGTAAAGATTAGTTTAACATGTTCTTGTAAATGGTAGTGTATTGAGTATGTTCTTTTGTGTTTGACTTCTTTCACTCACACTGTTTTATCCATGCTGCTGTGTGTGTAATAGTAGTGTGTTCATTCTCATTTCTCTACAGTATTCTATTTTATGAATATAGCACAATATATAGAATACAGGTTATTCTAATTGCATCATGGTAGTATAAAGTTTCTTAGATTTGTTTCGAAAATCATACTGGGCTAGACTCTCCTGAGAAATTCCTTAGTTTTAAGCCCCTTTTGGAAATAATACCAGTGCTTCTAGACAATTTTCTCACCAGAAGTCATTCCAAAAATACTTCATTTGTTCCTGGGAGTGAGCATATATTTATGTTTAATGTTTGTACAGATTATGTATAGAATTTAATACCTTGTCTGTCTGTGTTTTCAAAGGTTCGGTCTTTGTGGGCTTCAGTGAATGAAACACTCATCTTTGTGGAAAAAGAGAGAGAAATTGTTAGTTCCATTCTGAATCTTGTTGACCAGTATACATTAGATGGAACTAATGTTTCTATTAACATACCAAGACTCTTACTTGAAAAAATTGAGAAACAAAGGTATCAGGTAAGTATTTGATTTTAGGAAGCTTTTGAGATAACTCCATTCACATAGTTATTTTATATATTATATATTGTTTTTCTAATGTTTTCAGAATTTATTGTTACATTTTATAAAACTTTGATAACAGGGAGTACTGTTAAGGGTGTGTATATTTATATCCATCAGCATTTACAAATTGTCTCTCCCTTGTGTGGTACTGCACTATACAGTGTAGAAAGTAGAGGGTTGCTTAGTAGGAAGATAACACGGTAACTAATTCTTTATAAACTCCAGAATAACAGTGGTCTGTCTCCTAACTACTAAATGTCTTTTGAAAATATCTCTATCCTTAATCTTGATGCTATTGTATTTTAAAGTCATTTCTTTCTTTAACTTTTGTCTCTGCTCTCCTGTGGCTATTCAGACTGCTCTTCTCACTTTTTTCCACTGGTTCTTTTTTCTCTAGTGAATGTATTCCCCAGGGGTTTCTTTAATGCTCCCTCTTTTTTCTCACATTACAAGTTCATCTGTAATTCATTTTCTTACTCAATTCTACAACATTATTGGCCTCCTATACAATAATATTCCCAGATTGGTATTTCTAGTCTTCCTGTCCAAGCTAAACACCATCAAATTATTTCCACTTGCTTATGGGGATAGCCTACTTTTTTTTTTTTCTTGTAAACATGCAATTCATTAAGCATCTGCTATATGCCACGTATTGATTATAGTATAGGGGATACAAAGATAAAATGTTGTGAAGAGCTTTCACTTTAATAGGTAGCATCATAGGCACTTGAGGTTCTGAGTACATAAAAGTCATGATCTGCAAACTCAGATTCTGATAGGGGCTAGGTAGGTAATATATAAAAAGGCTAATTGTATAAATGGGATAAAGTAGGAGATGATGAGATTTCTGGAGAAATAGTAATCTTTGTGTAAAATCTTAAGATACTAGCAAATAATTCACATGATATAAAAATACTGGAACTGTGCAGTCCAAATACACGTCTTAGTTTGGATTTGGCCTTTAGGGGGCATCAATTAGTAACTTGTAGAACATAAAATCATTATCTTTCTCCAAATCTTCTCTTTGCTTTGCTTTTCGTTTATTTGCATATCTTTTATTCTAGTTCTCAACTTTATACATAATATAAAATGTAGCATGGCATGTTAATTCCTCCACAGTAGTGTCCTTTGGACCAAAATTATTTACATGGTTTTATTCTTGGGTCGACATTTGATTTTTTTTCACTCTAAGGTAATCTTTTTATATAATAGTAAAAAACATAAATATGTTAGCAGTTTGTTATCTTAAGAACTTACAGTTCACTTATTTTTCCCTCTGAATTCTTAGTTGCACATAGGTAATGTTTATGAGGCTGGAAAATTGAACCTCTTAACAGTTATTCAGTTATTAAATGAAGTCTTGAAAGTAATGAAATATGAACGTTGTCAGGCTGACCAAGCAGAACTGACAATAGACCTTCACTTCCTTGAAAAAGAGACCAAATTTCAAAGAGAAAGATTATCAGATCTGAAGCATATGAGGTACACTAGAAAGATCTTTTGTTATTTATTGGGGGAGGATGGTTTTGATAATTTCTCAGCACAACTTGTGTAGTTAACAACTCTTCAGCTTTGGCAACAAGTGTAAAAATTCTACTAGTATGCAAAAACCTGAACTCTGAGAGAGACACATGAAGTGCAAAAGAAAATTATGTAGTTTTCTTTTTATGTTTAATAAATTATTTGCCCTAAGTGATACTTCTTCATGAAATAATTTTAACTTTTCTTTAGCTTTTCTTTCGTGGGGTCTGCTAATAAAACTAGGTCTCAGAAAAATTTTTATTTGAGCAGAGTGACTGGGAGATACGGGCTGCCTTTAGGAATGAACAGAATGGGAGTAGAATTTTAACTGTAGTTTAGAACTAGGAAAAAATTTTATTTTAAAGATAATTGGAATAAGATGTATGATTGCTTTCTAGTCTTAAAAAGAAAAAGGGTTTTAGGTTCTGTATGTTCACTATGAAAATTTATTCAATTTGTATGTGCTGTACTGTTTGAACGTTCAGTTATATTTCCTCCCCCTTCTCTACAAACTTGTATTCTTAAATTTTACTCAATATTTTTAAAAGCTGTATTTATATTTTAAAGGATGTCAATTTTTATGGTATCATAGGTATAAAATAAAAGAAGATCTTATGACTATAAGACATTCTATTGTAGAGAAACAAGGAGAGTGGGATAAAAAGTGGAAAGAATGTCTTGGTCTGTCTCCCTTCAGTCTCATTAAAGGTTGGACTCCAGTAAGTAATGTTGACTTGCCTTTTGGAGAGTAGTTTAATATAAGGCAATCTCTTGATTTATCATGTTACAAATGGCCTAGAAATGCTATGTGTGTGTGTATGTCATCTTTGCAGCTGAGCCCAAGGTTCAAATGTTTTGGGTTCTATAGTTTTTCTAAATATATATTAGAATATTCATAAAGCTGCTGTTTAGTGTTTTCAAATTCAGAGAATTGTAGTAAAAAGAAAACGAGACATTCCTCTTGATGTTAGGTAATATGACATTTGAGGCACAGTTGGAGGACAGACTAGTCCCTTTGTTGTAATATTGTACTCCTTCACTTAAAAATAGTTACAGGATAATTTATATGCTTGGTAATTCTGTCTTTGCTAGGGGGAAAAATAATCTCTTCATAGATTAATTTACATAGTGTTATCATGGTAGTAAGTAAAATGATTGTATTTCAAAATCATGAATTCTGTGTTTTAAGGCTGTGGATCTTTTACCACCTATGTCTCCCCTCTCGTTTGATCCTGCTTCAGAAGAAGTATATGCAAGGAGTATTCTTTTGCAGTATCCTGCTTCATTTCCAGGTTGGTTATTTATTTATTTCTTTTTCAAACTTCCCTTCCATCAATATTTTTCGCTATATTTCCTTTACATTCTGTCTTGTTTTTTCCCCCAATTATTATTATTATTTTGTGATGAAATGCATATAGCATTTTAGTCATTGCAGAGTGTACAGCTCAGTGGCATTTAATAAACTCACAAAGTTGTATACCATCACCACTATCTAGTTCCTGAATATTTGCATTACTTCAAAAGGAAACCCCATACCAATTAAGAAGTCACTCCCCATTTCTCCCTTCCTTAGTTCCTTGCAACCACTAATGTTCTTCTTTATAGATTTGCTGTTCTGCATATTTCATATAAATGGAGTCATGAGCCTTTTCATATCTGGCTTCTTTCATTTGGGGGGCAATTTTACACTTTGTACAAAGGTTCATTTATCAGTACTTCATTACTTTTATGAATACATCCTATGTATGGCTAAACTGTATTTTATTTATTGAGTCATACATTGCTGGATCCAGGTTGTTTCCACTATTTGGCTATAATGAGTACTGCTGCTATGAACATTCATTTACAAGTTTGTGTAGAAATCCACCATTTTTTTGTTTGTTATCATTAATCTATAATTACATGAGCAACATTATGGTTATTAGACTCCCCCCATCATCAAGTCCCCACCACATACCCCATTACAGTCACTGTCCATCAGTGTAGTAAGATGCTGTAGAATCACTACTTGTCTTCTCTATGTTGTACAGCCTTCCCTGTGCCCCTGCCCCCCACATTATGTCTGCTAATCGTAATACCCCTTTATCTCCCTTCCCAGCCATCCTCCCCAGTCCTTTTCCCTTTGGTAACTGTTAGTCCATTCCTGGGTTCTGTGAGTCTGCTGCTGTTTTGTTCCTTCATTTTTTTCTTTGTTCTTATACTCCACATATGAGTGAAATCATTTGATACTTGTCTTTTGTCTTTCTCTGCCTGGCTTATTTCACTGAGCATAATACTCTCTAGCTCCATCCATATTGTTGCAAATGGTAGGATTTGTTTTCTTCTAATGGTTGAATAATATTCCATTGTGTATATGTACCACCTCTTCTTTATCCATTCATCTACTGATGGACACTTAGGTTGCTTCCATTTCTTGGCTATTGTAAGTAATGCTGTGATGAACATAGGGGTGCATGTCTTTTCAAATTGGGCTCCTGCGTTCTTAGGGTAAATTCCTAGGAGTGGAATTCCTGGGTCAAATGGTATTTCTATTTTTAGTTTTTTGAGGAACCTCCATACTGCTTTCCACAATGGTTGAGCTAATTTACATTCCCACCAGCAGTGTAGGAGGGTTCCCCTTTCTCCACATCCTCGACAACATTTGTTGTTGTTTGTCTTTTGAATGGTGGTTATCCTTATTGGTGTGAAGTGATATCTCACTGTGGTTTTAATTTGCATTTCTCTGATGAGTAGCGATGTGCAGCATCTTTTCATGTGTCTGTTGTCCATCTGAATTTCTTCTTTGGAGAACTGTCTGTTCAGCTCCTCTGCCCATTTTGTAATTGGATTATTTGCTTTTTGTTTGTTGAGGTGCGTGAGCTCTTTATATATTTGGGTGTAAACCCTTTATTGGATCTGTATCCACACTGTAGGATGTCTTTTTGTTCTGTTTGATGGTGTCCTTTGCTGTACAGAAGCCTTTCCGCTTGATATAGTCCCACTTGTTCATTTTTGCTTTTGTTTCCCTTGCCCGGGGAGATATGTTCATGAAGAAGTTGCTCATGTTTATGTCCAAGACATTTTTGCCTATGTTTTTTCTAAGAGTTTTATGGTTTAAAGACTTACATTCAGGTCTTTGATCTATTTCGAATTTACTTTTGTGTATGGGGTTAGACAGTGATCCAGTTTCATTCTCTTACATGTAGCTGTCCAGTTTTGCCAACACCAGTTGTTGAAGAGGCTGTCATTTCCCCATTGTATGTCCGTGACTCCTTTATCATATATTAATTGACCATATATGTTTGGTTAATATCTGGACTCTATTCTTTTCCACTGGTCTGTGGCTCTGTTCTTGTGTCAGTACCAAATTGTCTTGATTACTGTGGCTTTGTAGTAGAGCTTGAAGTTGGGAAGTAAGATCCCCCCTGCTTTATTCTTCCTTCTCGGGATTGCTTTGGCTATGGGATCTTTTGTGGTTCCATATGAATTTTAGAACTATTTGTTCCAGTTCGATGAAGAATGCTGTTGGTATTTTGATAGGGATTTCATTGAATCTGTAGATTGCTTTAGGCAGGATGACCATTTTTACTATATTAATTCTTCCTAGCCGAGAGCATGGGATGAATTTCCATTTGTTAGTGTCCTCTTTAATTTCTCTTAAGAGTGTCTTATAGTTTTCAGGGTATAGGTCTTTCACTTACCTGGTTATGTTTATTCCTAGGTATTTTATTCTTTTTGATGCAATTGTGAATGGAATTGTTTTCCTGATTTCTCTTTCTGCTAGTTCATCAATAGTGTATAGGAAAGCAACAGATTTCTGTGTGTTAATTTTGTATCCTGCAACTTTGCTGAATTCAGATATTAGTTCTAGTAGTTTTGGAGTGGAGTCTTTAGGGTTTTGTATGTACAATATCATGTCATCTGCAAATAGTGACAATTTGACTTCTTCTTTACCAATCTGGATGCCTTGTACTCCTTTGTTTTGTCTACTTGCCATGGCTAGGACCTCCAGTACTATGTTGAATAATAGTGGAGAGAGTGGGCATCCCTCTTTTGTTCCTGATCTTAGAGGAAAAGCTTTCAGCTTCTTGCTGTTAAGTATGATGTTGGCTGTGGGTTTATCATATTATGATATTACCTTTATTTTGTTGAGGTACTTGCCCTTTATGCCCATTTTGTTGGGAGTTTTTATCATGAATGGATGTTGAATTTTGTCGAATGCTTTTTTAGCATGTGGTTTTTGTCCTTTTCGTTGATGTGGTGGATGATGTTGATGGATTTTCATTTGTTGTACCATCCTTGCATCCCTGAGATGAATCCCACTTGGTCATGGTGTATGATCCTCTTGATGTATTTTTGAGTTCAGTTTGCTAATATTTTGTTGAGTATTTTTGCATCAATGTTCATCAGGGATATTGGTCTGTAATTTTCTTTTTTGGTGGGATCTTTGCCAGGTTTTGGTATTAGAGTGATGCTGGCTTCATACAATGAGTTTGGAAGTATTCCCTCCTCTTCTATTTTTTGGAAAACTTCAAGAAGAATAGGTATTATGTCATCTCTATATGTCTGATAAAATTCAGAGGTGTATCCATCTGGCCTGGGTGTTTTTGTCCTTGGGCAGTTTTATGATTACTGATTCAATTTTGTTGCTGGTAATCGGTCTGTTTAGATTTTCTTTTTCTTCGTTGGTCAGTCTTGGAAGGTTGTATTTTTCTAGGAAGTTGTCCATTTCTTCTAGGTTTTCCAGCTTGTTAGCATTTAGATTTTCATAGTATTCCCTAATAATTCTTTGTGTTTCTGTCGTGTCTGTCATGATTTTTCCATTTTCATTTCTGATTTGTTTATGTATGTAGATTCTCTTTTTCTTTTAATAAGTCTGGCTAAGGGCTTATCTATTTTGTTTATTTTCTCAAAGATCCAGTTGTTGGTTTCATTGATTATTTCTATTGTTTTATTCTTCTCAATTTTAGTTACTTCTTCTCTGATCTTTATTATGCCCTTCCTTCTGCTGACTTTGGGCCTCATTTGTTCTTCTTTTTCCAGTTTCAATAATTGTGACTTTAGACTATTCATTTGGGATTGTTCTTCCTTCTTTAAATATGCCTGGATTGCTATATACTTTCCTCTTAGAACTGCCTTTGCTGTGTCTCACAGAATTTGGGGCTTTGTGCTATTGTTGTCATTTGTCTCCATATATTGCTTGATCTCTATTTTAATTTGGCCATTGATCCATTGATTATTTAGGAGCATGATGTTAAGCCTCCATGTGTTTGTGAGCTTTTTTGTTTTCTTTGTACAATTTATTTCCAGTTTTATACCTTCGTGATCTGAGAAGTTGGTTTCAGTTTGGTAGAATTGCAATCTTTTTGAATTTACTGAGGCCCTTTTTGTGGCCTAGTATGTGGTCTATTTGGAAAATGTTCTATGTGCACTTGAGAATTATGTGTATCCTGCTGCTTTTGGGTGTAGAGTTCTGTAGATGTCTGTTAGGTCCATCTGTTGTAGGGTGTTGTTCAGTGCCTCTGTGTTCTTACTTACTGTCTGGTTGATCTGTCCTTTGGAGTGACTGGTGTGTTGAAGTCTCCTAAAATGAATGCAGTGCATTCTGTTTCCTCCTTTAATTCTGTTAGTATTTGTTTCACATATGTAAGTATTCCTGTCTTGGGTGCATAGATATTTATAATGGTTATATCCTCTTGTTGGACTGCCCCCTTTATCATTATGTAATGTCTTTTCTTATCTCTTGTTACTTTCTTTGTTTTGAACTCTATTTTGTCTGATACAAGTACTGCAACACCTGTTTTTTTCTATTATTTGCATGAAATATCTTTTTCCATCCCTTCACTTTTAGTATGTGTATGTCCTTGGCTTTGAGTTGAGTCTGTTGTAGACAGCATATAGATGGGTGTTGCTTTTTTATCAATTCTGTTATTCTGTGTCTTTTGATTGGTGCATTCAGTCCATTTACATTTCGGGTGATTATCGAAAGATATGTGCTTATTGCCAATGCAGGCTTTGCATTTGTTGTCACCAAAGGTTCAAGGGTAGCTTCTTTACTATGTAACCGTCTAACTTACCTCTCTTATTAAGCTATTATAAACACAGTCTGATGATTCTTTATTTCTCTCCCTTCTTATTCTTCCTCCTCCATTCTTTATATGTTAGGTGTTTCATTCTGTACTCTTTTGTGTTTCCTTTGACTGCCTTTATGGACAGTTGATTTTATTTTTTGCCTTTAGTTAGTATTTGGTTGGTCTGCTTTCTTTGCTGTGATTTTATTTTCCCTGGTGACATCTATTTAGCCTTAGGAGTGCTTTCATCTAGAGCAGTCCCTCTAAAATACCCTGTAGAAGTGTGGTTTGTGGGAGGCAAATTCCCTCAACTTTAGCTTGTCTGGGAATTGTTTGATCCCTTCTCAATATTTAAATGATAATTGTGCTGGATACAGTAACTGGTTCAAGGCCCTTCTGTTTCATTGCATTAAATATATCATGCCATTCTCTTCTGGCCTGTAAGGTTTCTGTTGAGAAGTCTGATGATAGCCTGATGGGTTTTCCTTTGTAGATGACCTTTTCTCTCTCTCTGGCTCCCTTTAATACTCTGTCCTTGTCCTTGATCTTTGCCATTTTAATTATAATATGTGTTGGTGTTGTCCTCCTTGGGTCCCTTGTGTTGGGAGTTCTGTTTGCTTCCGTGGTGTGAGCGACTATGTCCTCCCCCAGTTTGGGGAAGTTTTCAGCAATTATTTCTTCAAAGACACTTTCTATCCCTTTTTCTTTCTCTTCTTCTGATACCCCTATAATGCAGATATTGTTCTGTTTGGGTTGGTCACACAGTTCTCTTAGTATTGTTTCATTCCTGGAGATCCTTTTATCTCTCTCTGTGTCAGCTTCTCTGCATTCCTGTTCACTGATTTCTATTCCATTAATGGCCTCTTGCACCTCATCCAGTCTGCTCTTAAATCCTTCCATAGATTGTTTCATTTCTGTAATCTCCCTCCTGACTTCATCCCTTAGCTCTTGCATGTTTCTCTGAAGATCCATCAGCATGGTTATGACCTTTATTTTGAATTCTTTTTCAGGAAGATTGATTAAATCTATCTCCCCAGATTCCCTCCCAGGGGATATCTGGGTTATTCTTGTCTGCATCAAATTCTTCTGCCTTTTCATGGCAATAGAGGTAGTCGTAGGCAGTTGGTACATGTGTCAGCTGGGAGAACAAAGTCCTGCTTGCCCGTCGCCTTCCCTTCCTGCAAGAACGGTGACCCCTAGCGGCTTGTGCTGGGCAGCTGTGTGTCAATGGGGGTCTCTGAGTCTGGCCTGGGCAGCGGCGGAGGAGGCTCTGCCCGGCTGCTGTGGGTGTGGCCAGTCTCAGGCTGCTAATCTGCTATGGTGGGGCTACGCCAGAGGGGCAATGGGCTGGAGGTTGTTTATCGCCATGAGGGGCCTCAGAGCTGTGCTGCCACCTGGGGGGTTAGGGTGCCCAGAGTTCCCTGGGTTTCCCAGCTGCTGGGCTGTGTGTGCTGGGATGCTTACGTCCAGCTGTGAGGCTCCCGTCCCTTTAAGTCTTTCACAAAGCACTCGCTTTTCTTTTGTTCCAGGGGCGCCAGCTGTGGGAACCCACTCGCAGGTTTTACTGTTCCATTTTCCTAGTATCCAGCACACCATGCACTGCGTGTCTGCGCTCTGGTGTGGATGGCTAGCTCTGGGGATTTAGCAGTCCAGGGCTCCTTCTCCCTCCCTGCTCCGACTCCTCTCCTCCTGCCGGGAGCTGGGGTGAGGGGTGCTGGGGTTCCGCCGGGCCGGGGCTTGTATCTTACCCCCTTCGCGAGGCACTGGGTTCTCACAGGTGTGGATGTAGCCTGACTGTTGTACTGTATCTTCTGGTCTCTCTTTTAGGAATAGTTGTATTTGTTGTATTTTCAAAAGTATATATGGTTTTGGAGGAGATTGCCGCTGCCTTACTCATACCTCCACTTGGCTCCTCCTCATTTTCTGCCTTCTTTTGTTTCTGAGACATTTGTTGTCCATCTAGCTGTCGGTCATCTAGTTGTAGGTAATTTTTGATCTCTGGTTGTTTTTAAGATTTTTATATATTTATTTTTGTATTATGAAAGCTTGTTGAGATATGTCTAAATGTACATTTGTTTTTAGCCGTTGGGGCTGTGTGTGCTTATTTAATGTGAAGGCTCATAACTTTCTTCTGTTTTGGAAACTTACTAACGTCTTTTCTAATACCACCTCATTCTTTTGATCCTTTCCTTCTGGAACTCCTATTGTTGGGGCTTCTAATTCTCTTCTCCATATTTTTAAAATTCTCTTTCCTATTTATAACCTCTTTGTAATTCTGGGCTGTTTTCTAAGTTTTTTCCTTGAATCTTTCATATGGTTCACTAATTATCTTTTTAGTTACGCTTAATCTCCTTTCTGACCTATTTAGTTTTCATGAATATACTTTTCATTTGTTTCTTTTCAAAACTTCCTGTTCTTTTTCATGTATCATCTTTCATTATAGCTCCTGTTGTTCTTTTTGCTAATCATTTTAAATTTATTGATTTTATTTTTTTCAGTTTTTCTAATATCTCTCTGTTTCAGGTACTTCTGCTCCTGTATGTTCTCCCTGCTAATTTTGATGATTGTTTCCTTCCTATTAAAATATTTGACTCATCTCAACTTCAGTGGGTCTCTCCAGCCTTGGAGGAATCACATGGGCTCCTCGTTGTAGAATGGGCTCTACAGAGTCCCAGGTGTTTCCCTTGAACTAGGCCAGTTAATGTCTTTGGTCTGGGATTCCTAGTACAAATAGCTAGTGTAAATTTGAATTTCACACCTTCTTTTGAGTAGGCTAGGTAGGCTTAAAATGTCTTCATTCTGTCCTTTTTTATCACCAAAGACTCAGGTACTCAGTCTTCCTTGCTACTTCCCTGGTCCAGTGGCAGAATTTTTATAATCTCTTTTCCAAGGGCTGAGCAGCCTTTGTAGTGTCCTGAATCTGAGTGACCTGAGATGATGTTTCTTATTGTCATGTAGGCATTAAGTCTTCATTGTTCAGAGCTTGGAACCTGTCTCATTGAGCCTTTGTTTCTTGCTTGAGCTAACCGTTCTGATCATACTTTCCATCTTTGGTCCTGGCACATGATGATTTTAATTTGTTCTTCTGGGAATTCCTTTCTTTTTCTTTTATATAGCAGTTCTAAGTGTGTTTTTATGGTAGGAATTAGTGCTTCAGCTTGGTTTGCTTTGTTGTGGTGAGTTCAGTTTTGTTTACCTCCTAACTGCCCTGCTGTGTCTGTCTGTCCTTTGCTATCCTTAGGTCTGTACTGCTGTAGTTTAGTTTTTATATTATTTTTATATGATTGTGTTCTAACTAGCTACTCTGTCTCCTATATTTACCTATTTCATATTGCAGATGGATATCAGTGATCTTTCTGTAATGTGAATATGGTTCGTTTCATCTCCTGGTATAGTATATACCAGTGGCTTCTTATCACTGTTAGGGAAAAAAAAAATAAAAGAAAAAAGCTTTTTTCACTTAGCAAATTTTATCTTACAAACTTTCATACATACCAAAACAAATGTGTATCAACTCTGCCTTGCATCACAGGTGGTGTTTATAGTTGTACATAATCATTTTACTTTATGGTTTTCTACTAATTTTGTGATATAGATGTATTTGTGCTCATTTTTGGAATGTTTTATACATATCAGTAATTCTATCATCAGTAGGTGCAAAAGAACAGGGTATTGAAAATGTTGTAAGGCGGCCTACTTTTGCGATGGATTAAAAGAAAATCTTTACATGGTATACACATTGGCTTTTTATATATGTGCAAATTTATACTTTAGGCATGTATAAATAGGGAAAGTGTTTCATAAGCTAACATAATGAAAGAAGAGAATCCCCTGGAATATCAAATCCTTTGTAACCTAGCCATGGATTTCTTTACCAATCTCATTTCCTACTGTGCCTCTCTGACATACCCCGTACTCCTGCATACTAGACTTGCACGTTCTCTCCATACCTTCATGTTTTCTTCATGTTCCCTGGTCTGGGCCAAGCGCCTTTATGCCTCCTTGCTTTCTGTGCCTACTTCTCTCATATACTATAGTAGTATGCCATAATTCTCTACTCATTGACAGCCTTTTCTAGACTGACTGCTTGAAGGCATTATTTTTTCTTTTATTTTTTTCTCCCATCTTTTATTTCTTTCTCCCATTGTTCATACAGTAGTGGCACATAGTTATTCAGTGATTGTTGAAGAATAAATATGTAAGTTGACTGATGTCACAGATGCTGGAGTGAAGTATGCTAAGTACTGTAACTTTTTGGCCTTGTTGGTTTAGGTGTACTTAATTGCATGTTGTGTATATAAACAGGAAGCATGGGCATATAATGCTAGAGAATTATTATGGACTGTTGCTTTTGGGAAAGTTGGTTTAATGTCAGCTATCACTGCTTTTGTAAAAGCCTATTGCTAGATACTTTCTATCACTGTCCTGCCTATCACTTTATACTTAAGAATTGAATAATTGTCTTTCCCTATTAGCATTCATATTACTCTGATTTTTCTGTATTTTCTTTTGTTTAGAAGTTCTAAAATTTCATGAGATCCCTGAATATTAGAATGTATAAATGTAATTAAAGAGTAATTAGTTTTTATATTCCTTTAGATACACCTAAGCAGCATAACCAAGAAAATGATTGCAGAAGAGCCAGTGATACACTGGGGACTGTATATTACCCAGCCAGCAGGTAAAACAAACTTGATTTTCATAGATATTTTTTCCTTCATTAAATGCTATCTTCAGCTGATTTCTAAGCTTCTCTTACTTGGGAGAGTACCTTATTTTCTTTGCTTAACCAGATGTAGTTTTCTGCTGTGGATCCACATTTTCAGGAAAGGTTCAACATTTCTGATGCCTGGGCATTTTTTTCTTCTATTGTTTACCTAAATGTTGGGATTCATGGAGATTATTTAATTTTTGAAAAAAAACATGTGGAAATGATCTAATGCAAGTTTGGGAATTTCTGTCTTCTTATGTCTGTAAATTTATTTGAAACTACTCATAGCTGTTGACTAAATCCAAGAATTTAGAGGCTTTTGAGATGGTCTAGTCTGGTAGTTTCAGGTGTAGGCTGCAGTGCCCTCTGGTGCTGTGGATGAATCTAATATAGCTTGTGGCTAGTTCAACCCTTTTCTACTTCAGCTTGAACAGCTGGCTTTTTTTCTGTATTATATGTCTGGGTTTTTATATGTCATTTGATAAAAAATAATTTTATGTTTAAAAAAAATTTGGAAGACTTCCGATTCAGTCTAATCCCAGAATTTAACATATGAAAAAACTGAGCCTAGTTAGTTTATTGTGACTTCCTTTAGGAGTGTTCTTATTTCCTTTATTGCCCACTTTCTCTGTTACCCATTTTGTTTCTTAAACTGAATGCCAGATTATATAAGCAAAAATCTCTACATGTATGTTATCTGTTGGGGAATATATATATATATGTATATATATATATATGTGTGTGTGTGTGTGTGTGTGTTTGTGTGTGTGTGTGTGTGTTGTATTTTTTTCTAAATAAAACACTGTTAAGAAGTAATCAAATGCAGATATATTGATTAGGTTCCTTTATTGTTTTACTTTCTTTTTTAATTATCCTTTGACCTAAATAGGTGTCTTTCAGTCTAACCTCTCCATGTAATTGAGGCACAGATATGAAAACAAAATACTTAGGACAATTTTAAAAGATAATTCTAAGTTTGAAATGAATCGAAGCCCTCTTCATTCTCTATACTCTTAATAGTCTAATAAGTTAAACCACCATAACAAGAGTCAAAAGTTAATATGTGAAACTGAGCTATTGGCAGTTTCTTCTGCAGTAATTTTCTGCCTCACAGGAGGTCAGGATTACTTGTGGAAAAATTTTTCTTTGTTTTTAGATTTGGATATGATGTTGGTTTTCCAGAGTACCTAAAAAAAAGAAATCTTTTGTGAAATCTGATATTGAAGAGATAGATAGTAACGTTAATGGGCTTGCCATTTTATACCCTTATCAGAGTTGTTATTAAAGCATGCTGGAGGGTAATAGTTGGTGCTTCCCAATCTCAGTTATGTTCTTGGTTTGTCTTCCCTTAAAAGAACAAATTAATATTTTGATTAAAGTCTCTTGATGGACTAAAGATTGATGGAGTTGGTAGATTAATTCATAAATCAGATTTTTATTTATGAACTCCATTGACCCTCAAGATTCTTTCCTGAAGTAGAATTTTGTACTAAGATGTACTGTCAGAATTCTATAGGAGCCAGACCCCCTAAGAATTTGGTTCAAGTGGAATTCTCTTAGTATAGGAAAAAGAAGTTGTATTAAATATAATTTGATTTTCACATTTGTCCTCTTCCAAGTTCCTGGATCTATTAATTATCTTATGATACTTTAATTACATGTTTGGGTTATTGAAGGAAAGTAGGTTGCAAGGGACAAATGCTTAAGGGGTATGAAAGATTATAACTGTTTAACAGCAGAAAAGAAGACAGGTCAAGAGTTGAGTCACTGGTATGTGGAGTAAACTTCTTAGAATTTTATGCTATAAAAGGTATTTCATAATAAAATGTTTAATTAGTAATATGCAACATAGGTAGATAGTACTTAGAAGAAGTAATACTTTTTTTTGCATGTAATGAAGCTATTATACTAAAAATTTAATTTGTAGTGGCATCTTACGTTAGTATATATGTAAATAATTGGGAAATTCATATGATCAATACAGCTATTCAATTTAAAAACATGGAAAGAATGTAATTTTTTAGAGTGTGTTATTAGCTGTTTCACATGCAGTTGTCATTCACAGGTACCAAAATATAAGTAGTCTCCATAAATTTCATGGCTGGTTTTGGTCAGAGTGAGCTGATGGAGGTTTTACCATACTTCAAACCAGTGACTGGTGATGCCTTTGCTGTATACTGTGGGCACTAACTTTCTTTGCAGTGGTTTTTGGAAGGTAGGGTTCCATGAAGTTCTAGTGGTGGTGATGCAGTTCTTCTAGACCTTTAACCTCTCCAGTTTCTCTTGTGCTGCATTTCAAAGATAGGGCACTATAATCTTGCCTGCATGCCAACTAAACATCCTTAATCTTAGAAATTTAATTCTAATCTGAAAACTTTCTCTTTTTATAATTTTATTATTGCTTTTAAATATATATATATATATATAGTAACAACAATAGCAAGTAAAAATGAAAAATAATTAAAATTTCTAACAAATTATTAGATTCTTCCCATTATCAGATTTTTTTTAGGTTTTATTTACCAATGTATACAAATTTAATTCTAATCAAAGTGTGGGTTATAGTCTTGCATTCTAAAATAAAAATTTTAAACATTAGCATAGCATGAATGCAGAATTTTGGGTGTGTGTATGCATGGTTACTTAGCATGTTACCAGTTTTCAGTTACGTTGTAACATTTTCATTTATTTAGTTAATTTATCTGTAATATTTCATTTATTTTTAGACTTTTAGGTTTTCCTCAACTTTTTTACTATAAAAAGCAGGTCGCTTTCTTTTTTTTCTTTTTGAAGTGCTCTTTCCTTAGGATAAATTCCCACAGTGGGATCAACATCCTTTCTTTTTATCTATAGTGCTAGAAGTTCACAGGCTTCAGTTCTGGCATGGCAAGCAGATAGTAAGGACTGAGCCAAGGCTTCTTCAAAGTTGTCTGGGATTGAGATGTTAGGGCTAATGACAGCACGTTGCCAGTTCAGAAATGAGAGAGGGGAATATGTAGAATATGTTTCCATTTTTCTTAATTATAGGGCTCTTTAAGAATATTTCAGGTAGAAAAATCTGTAGAACCTGTATCTGTAGATCTCATATATATGTATAGAATCTCATCCTCAAGTGACATTGACTCATTGAATCAGTTACATATACGTAGTGCATTGCCAAGTACCAGGCACTGTGTTAGCCCCTGGGGACGCCTTTGGACTCTTTGTCCTCCAGGAGCTCACATCTAACAGTGGCATTGCTCCATTGATTTATGGCCCTGCTTCAGAGGGCTTTAGATTATTTTAATGTTAAGTTTTTGGGAAAATTAAGATAAAATTGCAGGAGGTAAATTTTTTTCCTTTGATATTTAGATTATATCTTGTTTGAGGTTAAGTTGAAGTTTGAACAGTTTCAGTTATTGTGTTTGGAAGGTAGATAATTCCAAGAAGGTCATATTTGAAAAAGCATATTTGCTATTGTATAAAATATTTGCAAAGCTGTTGATTTTGTAATTCTGGCTATGAACAGAAAGCAAAGCCCCAACGTGCTTGATGTTGAAAGTGGGTTCTGTAATAATCCTGCCTTTCATACTACCTAGGATAGAAAAGCTTTTGGCCAGTGAGCAGAGCCAATCCACAATTTGAAAGCTCTTTCAACATAAAGATAGTTAAAGTTATCATTTCTTTAAAGGCTTTAAAAATTTAGTGACTTGTTTTGTAATTGTAATGAAAGAATGCATAAGGTTATGTTTATCCAAAGGGACAAGATAATCTAAGAGATTAAGAAAAAACTATGTGTAGAATGCAGCAAACTGAAACTTAATTACCCTAAGACTTTACTGTAAGTTAACTTTATTTGCTATAGAGCAAAATTCAGCATAAAAGAAATTGATTTTGGATGTGAAGTATTAAAGTCTTAAAAGAAAGTCTCTGCTACAATTAAATTTCACCATCTGAAACCTGAGAACATTGTAGTAATGTGACTATAGTTAATTTGCTTTTACCCTGTACTCATCTTTTTGAGTGTTCATCAAGTCTAACTCTTGTTAAAAAAAATGCTTTTGACTTAAAATATGTAGTAGGTAAGGAAGATGTGAGAATTTGGGAGGCTGATACATAAATTGGGCGGAAGTACTCCCCTAATTGTCACAATATCTCCCTAGAATAAACTGCCTTTTGATGACCGGGACGAATTGAGTGAAATCGTAACGGACAGATACGGGGCAGACAGTTTCTTTAGATTATTCAGACACATCAAAGTGATTGGAACTCTTTCTTACTTATAACATGGACTTACTACTTTTTCCCTTTAGCCCTGCTTCTTTCCTGTTGCAACCAGTTTCACTGTCATCAGATAGAAACAGTGTTACACTATTTGAAAAGGTACATTTTAAAACTATTTTTAATTAATTCTGACTATACTTATTTAACATAAAATGCTACTCATTTTTGTTGATATCCCATCTTAATTAAATGTAATTTGTATTTTTACATTTCTCTGTATTTGCACATCATGTACCATTTCTATTTACACATTCCCTATTGCTTCTAAGTGGGTATATTGGAATTATTTAATTGTTCAGTGAACACACAATTTCATAAAAATGTTAATAATTCTTTACAGGTTCATGATAACTCATGAATTTCTAATGGAGATCAGCTATAGTTATTAAGGTTTTAATATTACATGTCTATCCTTCAGGACATGAAGATGAGAACTCCTAGAGAGAAAAATGAGACAATTTCTAAGAAAACAGCAGAATTTGAAGTAGAAGACTCTGTATCATCAAATATTGCAAAAAATTCAGAGAATAGTGCATTTGGAGGGGCTCTTCCAGCTAAAAAAAGTGATCCATTTCAAAATGAGCAAGATCATCTGGTAGAAGAGGTTAGAAAAAGATTGTAATAAGTATGCTGAAATATCTATTATTTTTCATTGGTGTTGGATTATAAGTTACAGTTATTGTTAATTATTACACAAATATTATTAGTTATTGGTTAACTGAGGTTAATATAGGAAAAGAGGTCCTAGATAATAAAAATGGTTAAAGCAAACCATAATAAAAATTGGTCCTCCTAAAAAGTAGAAATAGATTAAATATAAACTTATTCAGTTAAGATTATATCCACGATTTAGAAACATGTCCCATTCTATAAATATCCAAAAGTATAAAAATAATACATGTATGTCATTTTTGGAATTAATCATTTCTTAAATTGTTGGATAAATATACCCAATGATTATACTCTATTATAATACTCTGTGACTGTTGTCTGTTTCTTAGCTGAACTTCTTCCTCTTTCTTTGAATATGAGAACAAAGACTATGCAGTATCATATTATTACTGAATGAAGGTTTTGTCCTTCTGCTTCTAAATATTTAAAAAGCTATTAAATGCATCATTGTTCATGATAACTGGTTTTCTTAACTAGCTTTGTTCCTTAATGCTATCCTGTTTTTCACTGGCAAGTGACCATATAAAACTACTATTGCTCAGTAGTAATATTGTACCATTTACTACTGAAAGTTTATATAAACTAAATGCTTCAACTGTGCTCTGATATTTTTTTTACATGTTTCCCACAACATCCCCTAGCATTATTTGAATTTGGATAAGCAGCCAGAAAATAACAGTTACTTTATATTCCTGAGAAAATAAAAGAAAATTTTAGCGCATATTGATTCAGGTACTCCTTTATCTCAGTCCTGATCAAAGTAAATGAACATTGCCAAATAAGAGCTCTAGATGCCAGTGATTTTCTCACTTGTAACATGAAGCGGATAAACCAGTTTCATGGTCTCTATATACTTTTAAATCTGTAAGGATCTATTGTTTCTCTTTGTTAGCTGATAGACTCTACGCTAAAGAAAAGATGGTCAGTCTTTTTTTTTCTTATATGGAAGGAGAAGCACATCTTTCTGGTTGAAAGAATTTATGTATTAGTAGTGGAGTGGGATAGAATGGAAGAGGAGAGTCCTAAAAGCTCATAAAGCTCTGAAAATAAAGTGAAGTTAATTTTCTTTTCTAGTGTTTGTGACAAGGAATATTTAATGTTTGGATTCTTAGAATTCTGTTTTCCTGGGGGAGGGTAAATTTGGGGGTCAATTTGATTATGGTTGTAGGAAGTTATTTTTAGGAATCTAGGGGTAGTAATTTTAATTTGCATTTTTTATTCTGGTTTTATTGAAATTCAATTAATACAGATGCTATTTTCGTATTGCATACTTTGCTATTTTAGAATGTAGCCCTATGCCTTGTTCACTTGATAATGAATTTTCTGGCAAATACTGTGTTGTCAGAATGTTTTCTGGTTTTACTATACGTGTTATTGTGTAAATATATTTTAGTTAAAAATGTATAAACTTTCTTTAAAACTGTAGTCATTTTAGCAGACATAGAGTTGTCAAGCCCCAAAATGTGGGAGATGGCATCTTCAGTCACTGTGTAGTCAGAACTATCTCTAAATCTAACCATGTATTAAGATTCTTATCTTTTCTCTCCTTTATAATGAAATATCTATTTAAGATAAGAAAAGAGGAAACAGTTTTGTGTTTGATTTCACCTTATACGATTGTGCCTAGGTAGACTGTATAGAGTGTCTGCAGAGCTACATTTTTTAGCTTATTTTTGTACCATCTGCTATGGGAGGGGGTGCTGACTTGAAGGGTTGATTGTTTTATTGGGGCTTTTGTTGCATTCTACCAATGGGCTTGGTAATTTTCCCTCTACTTTTTCTTTTCTGTTTTAGGTTGCTAGGGCAGTTTTATCTGATTCACCACAGCCCTCTATAGGAGAAGTAAAATTGGAGGAACTAATTGACTCTCTAGCTTCTAACCCTTTCTTGACAAGGAACCGAATTCCCCGAACTCCAGAAAACTTGAGTAAGTTAATGCTATCATTTTCTTTTTTAGATATATTACTAGTATTAGAACTGTGGTCTGACAAATCTTCTGGAAACTCACTTTAGAACTCTGTTTCAGTTTAATGGCAATGGCTCTTTGTTTTGATGTAAAGGACTCTTTTTGAAGTAGTGAGGATGGGCACTCCCGCTTACATGGCAGTTCTGCAGCAGTGTTATTTTGCCGATATTCTACACTTTTGTTTTTGTTGTTTTACTTTAGCTTTTTCCTGGAAAATACTTGAGCTGAGCACTTTCTAAAAACCCTCTGCCTCCACATGACCTATGTTTAACATTTATAGAGTATAAAGGCTGTGTTCTCCCAGTAAGCAACCAGCAATATTGGCCAAAAACTGTGTGTACAGAGATTTTTTTCTACACCCCCAAGCTAGTCAGACTGCCTAATAGGCATTTTTTTCTCATAACCTGTAATTTTGTTGGCATAGTTCTGATATTATTGTTCTTCTGTAGTCACGTCATTCTGGCTGAATGATTAAATGTAATTTCTTATTTGCTGCTGGAAATGACACAAAGTTAAATTGATTCAGTTCAATCAAAGCAAGCCACAGTCTGGGTGGGTGGTTGGCAATCTACATACAGCTTAAGAACCCATTTAACCAGCTCTGGGTGTTTTTGTAAATCAAGTTGTGAACATAGCCATGCTCATTTATTGACATACTGTTGATGGCTGCTTTCAGGTTACAGTGGCAGAGTTGAGTAGTTGCCACAGACCAGATGGCCTGCAAAGCCTCAAATATTACTGTCTGGCCCTTTATAGCAATAGTTTGCTGAACCCTAGCCGAGATGGATAAGGAAATATCTTGTTAGGACATGTAATTTGTATGTGCTGTATGAAAGCATATGCACATCTCAGGAACAGCTTTTGTTGTTTGTATGTGATCATTGGAGATGGTGGTGGGTGGTGGTGGTGGGCTTTGGCATGTTGTAGAGCCTTGTCATGTAGCTGGCTTATTTATGGAATATGTACTGAGTCAGTAGCTTTACTTTGAGCCCTAGCAATGAAATGTTTGATTGCCTGCTTTTTTTGAGCATATTAGTAAATTGTGTTTTTTTACTCTCTTGGTTGAATTAGTAAGTAAAATTAGGCGCTCATGGAGAAAAGCTCTTCAAATGGAAGATAACAGAAGTATGGAACCGATTCAGATGGATACTGAAACTAGAGAAGTATTGCCAGAATCCTTACCTGTGTTGCCTAATGAAAGAGAATTTAGTGTGACCAGTTTTCTCTTAGCAACCAGTGTGTCTGATTCTAGCCATTCTCATTTGCCTGAAGAGAAAGTTGTTTCAGATCGCCTCAAGTGTGTGCCCCAGAAGCATATGGTGACCAGTCACATAGATGAAACAGCAACACAGAATCAGTCAGATTCGTTAAATAAGAAAATAGTGTGCAAGCAAAATTTGGGGAGTACAGCATTGCAGAACAAGCTTTTAGAAACTAGCCAAACAGAGACATTCTCCCCTTCTGTAGGTGATAGGAGAGATGTGATGGGAAGCTGCAAAGAGGATTATATTAAAATAGCAGACCACTTGCAATCTTCTTATAAAGAATCTTCCATGCGCAAGAGTGTGTTAGGGAACTCTTTTCAAACATCAAGTGGAATTAGTTCTAGTTTTCAGGATACTGATTTTGGCATATTACATGAAAATCTTCCAGAAGAAGTTGGTCATTTAAGTCTTAATAGTAGTACAGAGGCCAGTGTTAATCTGGAACCAAATAGTCCTATGCACAGTGACATTTTTCCAGAAGATGTTGTGGGAGAAAGACAGACTACTACAGTATCAGACTTCAGTTTACAGGCTATTTGCAGTAGATATGAGGCTCTGAAAAAACCTCTGTCCAAGAAAAGGGAAGAAATTTACCTCTTTAATTCAGAGACACTTGAGAAACACACACCAGAAGTGAGCCCTACTTTCCAAAACCTGCAAATAGATAATACACTTAACTTTTTGGACAGTTGGGATTTGCATGTTGACTATACAAAACCATCTTTACGCATGTCCCTTGGTGAAAGGAAACAGTCTCTCTCACCACTAATTAAGTTTTCTCCAGTGGAGCAAAGATTGAGGACCACAATACCATGTAGTCCTGGGGAACTTACACCTAATTTAAAAGGTAAGATTTAACCAGACCTGTGCATATTGACTTATTGAAGGTTTCTCTCAAATTCTCATATAAATGAATGCTACATAATTTTTACTGTTAATGTGACAAAATACGCTCGTTATTCTTTTAACAAGGATGAGAAGAGGGAACCCATCACTTTTATGGGTATTTGAGAACCTCTGGGGATGTGTATATATATAGTTTGCAATTGGTATGGGACTGGGATAGAAAACAACCAAAAACCTGAAACCTATTGTTTTTTGTAACACAAACTACTGAAAGTAAATCTCGTCAAAATCTTGGCTAGTGGAGGATGGTTCTAAAAAAAGTAGAAAAATACAATGTTAAGTGTCAGTCTTATTCTAATACAGTATCTGTGATTTGTCTTGAAATAAATTGGGGGGTGGGGTGAAAAAGCAAGGTACGTTAGTACATTAGTTTCCTACACCTGCCATAACAAAGTACCACAGACAAATAGCTTAAAACAACAGAAACTGATTGTCTCTCGAGACAATAAATTCTGGAGGCTAGCATCCAGAATCAAGGTGTTGGCAAGGCCGAGTTCCCTCTGAAGCACCAGAGGAAGGTCCTTCTCACCTCTTTTAGCCCCTGGTGCTCTTTGGCTTGTGGCAGCATAACTCTGATCTCTGCCTCTGCCTTCACATGGCATTTTTCCCTCATGTGTCTATGTACCTTATTAGGACACCAGACATGTAGACAAGGACACCCTACTCTAGAATGACCGCATCTTACCGGATTATACCTGCATTGACCCTATTTCCAAATAAGGCCATATTCTGAAGTACTGGGGTTTCATTATCTTTCATCTTTTGCAACATATCTTTTTGGGGGACACATTTCAACCCATAACAGTATTAATAAGTATTGAAGCTGGATGATGGATATATTGGGTTAATCATAATTCTCTTTACTTTTGTATGTTTGAAAATATTCATCATAAAGAGTTAAAATAAAACCTCTTAAAGCATCTTAGAATAGCTACAGATCTGGTGATATGGATTCATCATATAGCACTGATTTGGCCATGATAGTTAAACACTGGCATATTGAAAAGGTACCTCTGTGAGAATAGTGGTAATTTTATCATAGTTAAGTATTTGTGAGCTTTTTTACTTAAGACTGAAATTTGCTGCTACATGAAATCTATCCTTTTATCCTTTGTAATGTTTGTTTATCCTTTTCTCTCTTTTTAAATCAATTTTTCAGAAGAAGAAGTCTTGATTAAGAGCCTTGATGCAAAAGAATCACTCTGACTTGAAAAGATGAAGCAGTTTAGCTGAATTAATTTAACTATGATGCACTTAAATTCAAGCAGTGTCACAGGATTCAAAACTCACATAATTTAAATATACAGTGGAAGTGTAACTCTTTTTCAAGGCCTAAGAATCTAAAATTATACCTTTTAACCTCCTCTAATGTTTTTAGGTAAGGACAGAATGTTTGGATTTTCTCTGTAGGGCTGTGAGATTGAAATGTGAAGTACAATACTGCCTTGAACAATGAGGGGGGTAAGGGGAACCAACCCCTGTGCAGTTGGAAATCTGCATGTGACTTCTGACTCCCTAGAAAGTTAACTGCCAGTATTCTGCTGTTCACTGGAAGCCTTACTGATAACATAAACAGTTGATGCACACATATTTTGTATGCTAAATACGTATGATGCTATTTTCTTAGAATAAAGTAAGCTAGAGAAAATAAAACATGTTTTCAAATTGTGACAAGTCTCCAAAAACTTTTCCAGTATATTTATTGAAAAGAATCTACATATAAGTGGACCTGAGCAATTCAAACTTGTGTTGTTTAAGGGTCAACTGTGTTTGGAAAGCAAATATCAAGTTATGTGAAGCCATTCTGATTTCTTGAATAATCTTGTAAGCATTAAGTAAATGGCAAAATGTTATTATAATTTCAGTTAATTAACTTAAGGACAAGTGGGTTTTGATGTTCTTTTATTAAGTGGTTAACATAATATCCATTAGCTATGCTGTTCTTTCATTTTAGGGAAACGTAACATGTTTCTTTATGGAACATTGTGGTACTAACCAAAAAATGTGAGAAAAATGGTTGGATGTGTGTTGTCAGGATAACAGAGTTTAAGTTTGGGAAAGTTCTAAACAGGTTCAATGATTATTCAAGTAAGTTGATCCTGAAAAATGATGTTTGGTGGAATAAAGTGCATGTGATGGTAGAGTGGGGTAGAATGAATTTAGAAAAAAGGCAAAAGATGAAAAATGATGACTAGACACTTAAAAGAACACTGTCAAACCATAAATCCATTCGCTGGGTTGTGTAGCAGATTTATATTTAGTCTAATTTAGACTTTGAGATTTAATTTAATTCTAGCTTTATATTTTACCAGAAAAAAAAGTAAATTAAAAAATTTACTAATCTGTGTTTATTGTTTTTTTTGGGGGGGGGGTGGCATGGTTTTTTGGGGCAAGGAGATAATTTGACTGTGTTACTTTCCTTCTCGAAAACCATCAGTTCCCCACTGCCTACATAACAGCTTGAAAGTAACTTGATAAAATGGAATTTGGGTTAAAAAACTTTTCACTGTTATACAGCTACATCATTGGTAAAGCTAGGATTTGACCCTATTTTCCTTCTTGAATATACCACACCACGTCGCAGAAATAACCAAGGAGCCAGGACAGAGGGTATAGCTGCAGGATTGGGCCTCCTGTGACCTTCTGGACTCTTGACTCAAATGTGAGGCCTCTTGTACAGCTGTCCTGCTCACTCACTCATGGCCCCTGGCCAAGGAAAGGGCTTGTCTCTGTCATCCAGGTGTAAACATGCTATCGCCCTCTGTGAACTGGAAGGGTGATAGTGCCACAGTACCCCACTATCTAGCCCCAACCCGTAACTATCCAGACTTTGTCCATTTGCCAAGAAACTGGCAAGGAGAGGTGAAAAATTGAAGGGGAAAATTCTGGAAGTGGATGGGCTTAGTAGTTCATCTTTTATTTTGCGCTGGCTTTCTCAAGTTGTTCTATCCCAGTTTGAGGAAGTCTTGTGAGCAAAAGAAGGAAAGCACATAGAACTACTTTATTTGCAGTGGAAAAGAAAGAGGAAGAGAAAAGGTGCTGTACTCTTTTATTATTTAATAGAACAAATTAGTGATTTCAGGTCGTGGGGAACTATTTTCTCATCTTAAGAAAACCCAGTGTCTGTAAATCCAGAGTTAATATGTAGGGAGAAGGTAGGGCTGTCATATTTGCATCTATGAAGTGCCAGAGCCATTCCTAGATAATACATATAGATTCATGTGATTCTGAGAATTGTAAAATAGCAGTTATCATACCTATTTTACAGATGGTACTGATACGAAGGAGCATAAATAAGGTGGACTGAAGGAATCATCAGGAACCCATCTAAATGTAGATTCTATATTTCTAAAGTGGGGATTATGAATCTGTATTTTAAATGTGCTTCTCTGGTAATTCCTAGGTTCAAATAAAAATTGAGAGTCACTCCTAGGGGACATAGATTCACATTTAGTTCTAGGGTACCTTAAAGTTGCAGGTACACTATTACATGTATACTACCTTAGAGATACTTCACTATCTGTCTGATAAGCTCAAGTTCACAGTTAGTGTGGGAGGCCATTAATTACTGAGAATCAAAGTATCAGAATGTCTCTCAATGACAGATCTATAAAAGTACATAAGTGAGCCATACCTGTGATAGGCTGTGGGATTCCCTATCCTTTGTCAGTAGTGTAAACAAAAATCGGTCATTTTCTCCTAAACCACTGTGATTATGGCAACTGCATTCAGCCTCTTCCGTATTTAGTATTGCATACATAGCTGCCTTTTGACCTAAAGGGACTACTTTGATCATGCCATTTTGATTAAAATTAAGTTTATTGCTAATTCCAGAATAGTTTAAATTTAAAGGCTTATAAGGTCCCCTATGTAGATCCCTCTATTTCCCCTTCCACTCTTGTTTTTTACCGTACTGCTTTGATGAGCATGGGTCTTCAGAAATCTTAATTCACAATTCTGAACCCTGAATACCTTACCTTACTTTACCAGTTTACAGCTGTCCTTTAGAACTTAGAACAAATACTGCTTCCACCTTCAAGTCTTGATCTGTCCTTTTCATATCCATGGCCCCATCCCTTCTCTGAAATCTGTGGTTCATTTTAGCTTTCATTCACTTAGTATTTTTTAAATTGCGTTTACCGTATTTTTTCAGAGTTGCATGTGATCTCTCCAGTTACACAGTTTTTAAACATACATACTTGTGTGTGGGGGGGTATTCACACATGCTTGAAGGGTCATGGATCATCAGCAAATCAACTGAAGTAGAACTGCTTTCTTTGCCTCTTAGGTGATGGAATTAAAGCAATGGTAGAGGACTACTTTATTAATAACATTGTTGAATGTACCTCATTACATTCATAGCAGACTACACAGGATTTACCTTGTTTTATTCAGTATTTGTAAGATAAAGGTTATAAACTGACTTCTCTATTAACCTGCAACTTTAGTAATGCCAAGTGTCCTATTTTGAATGTTTAAAGAGAATAAGCATGAATGTTGCTTAACATGAAAAATCAAGTGGAATAAAGAATACTTGAGGTTGAGGAAAAACATTTTGGGGAGTTCAGCTGAAAAGAGAAATATGAGTAGTTTGAAACTTCTTTACTATGTGTTCCTTAACCATGAAGTTAATTTTATCTAAAGAAAAAACGAATTCTTGAGACCTTTATAAACGGAAACCCTGTTTTTTCCTAGTCTGTCTGAAAAAACCCTATTTTTTACTTTTTTCCTACTTTTCTAGTAAAATTGAATAAAATGTTTAAGGACATTTTTCTCTATTTGCTAAAGTAAAATTCTCTTTCCCATTAAGCTGCAAATTCATAGTTGGTCTACCTTTCTTGTGCACTGTGAATGTCAAGTCCACATCCTGTATTTAAAATATTTGTGAGTCTTCCATGGGACTATTTATAAATATGTTCTACATACTAGTTTTGAATAAACATTCAATATTTATTACCTGGTTCTGGAATTTCCTATGTATCAAGAAGAACCATACCCTGCAAGTTATAAAATGATCACATATAAAGGTGTATCAGTAACTTGATCAAAAATTTGAGGTTCAGTGATTCAGAAAAAAACAAAAAATTTTGTTGCTGCCATTTTAATTACTAAATTTTAATAAGTACAAATATACCTTAAGAGTTTTTAAAATCTGGAGTCTTTATACTAATTACTGCCATAGGCCCTAATTAGATGGGTTTAGTAACTTACATCTGAATAGCTTCCTGCTCTTCACATACGGAACCTATCATCCACCATTACTACTACAAAGGGTTTAAAAAAATGTTAAATAATTTTGTAACACTTTGGGAATTCTCAAGTCCTATCACTTATTTAATGTCTGTATGCAGCTGTCATGCTTCATTTGTAAAATGAGAGGTGAGAGCAGCTGATCATAGGTCTTTCGGCCCTACCTAAATAGATTTCATTTAAAATTATATGGTAGCTGGATCAGGACATTTTAGTTCTGTTTTCTGATTTCACTATACCATATTGCCAATCGAAATTAAGGACCTTCCCCAAAGTAGGTAATCTCCGAATCTAATTCAGTCTCATCCAGTTCCCAGATACAGACGGGAAAGTGATCTTGCCCAAAGTGAATGAAACACTGTTCTTTCAGAGAAGTCACTTAGCTTCCTGGGCTGCAGTTTCCTCAGGCTGTATTATTAGGGGAATTATTTGAAGGAATAATACACACCTAAAGAGGTGGATTTTCATGATAAACTTTTCTGTCAACAGAAGAGGTATGTATATAATAGGGATTTGTGATCATTTCCTAGGTTCAGTTGTATGAATACAGCTAATACCATTTTTCTCATTTATTAAAATTGAGATAAGGTAATCTACCTCATAGGTTTTGGGGACTAAATAAGAAAATGCACACAAAGTACTGAAGAATAACTGGCATTTAGTAAGGGCTCATATTTAGCTAGGTTTCACATCCAGTAATTTGGGGGTGGAGGGACAGCTCAGGCGGTTTTACTGATAGCTGATGCTTACATAGTGAATATGTATGGCATGTGCCAGGCACCATTCTCAATGATTTTCATGTTTCTAATTTAATCATTTTAACAGTCCTATGATATAGTGATACTCTTATCCACATTTTACAAAGGAGAAAAGCACAGTGAAACTATCTTGCCCACTTCACCGAGCTGCTAAGTGAAGGGACTACAATACTAACTTAACTCAGGTGGTCTAGCTCCAGAGCCCATGCTCTTAATTACTTTGCTACAGCTGCTATGAAATATAGACAAGCTGATGGGGGCAAAGGTCACAAAATCAAATTTACCAGTATACTTGTGGGCAGCCAGAACCTTTAGATTTACGTATTAACCACCTTCAAATTATTTCAGATAAGACCATATTTTAAATTGCTAACAGCAAATGTTTATTCACAACTGAAGCCAAGAAGAATGTATAAATGCATTTTAATACCTTGCTGATAAAATAGTAACATTCCATTTTTGCAATCTTCAAAGGAATACAGGAATATACTGTAAAGGCTTTGATGTATATATCTATTATAACCAGGTATCAGAACACACACACACACCACCTACTTCAGTGTACACCACACCAACTTTTCAGAAAAGGCCATCTTGAAGCTCTACTGGATAGGTGAGTAAATAGCGTCCCACGTTGAAAGACTGGGGAGTAGGAAGAAATGGATAGGGAATAGTAAGCAGCACACATTTCAAAACCCACTTTTAAGCACACAACATTATGAATATTACAAAAAAAAAAGATGCGGGAAAAAAAGGCAATTCAGCATTTGCAAAAAGAGCATCTGGCAATATTCAACGCATAAGGAGGCTGTGCTTGGGACCATCCACTCTCTCCAGCTTCTCAAAGTGTTTCCTGGCATTGCGAATGTTGATCAGAGTAGCTGCAGATGGGATCGACGGATCGGACATAACAACCATCACGTACGTGTTTGATGTGAAGATGTCGATGAACGCTGCGAAGTTAGAATTCCTAACTTCCATGCTCTGGAAAGAAGCGGCCAATTTACTGCAGCTCAGCTTGAACTGCTTAATGATGTTGCTGATCTTCTCAAATCGGTGGACGTCACGCTGCTCTTTGCACTGGTAATGGGAAATGACCAAGAACGTAGCTCTCTCGAACAGCAGAACTTCATCGGCCTCAATAATTTGGGCAAAATTCCTTAAGTTCATCTCCAGCTGCTGAACATTGGGAATCAGCTGATAGACGATACTGGACCAGGCTTTGTAGAGCGTTTCATCCCAGATGGATGTTCGAAAACAAGCGCACTCCAGCGGACGAGACAAACGCCTCAGGTCTTCCTCTCGCTCTTTAAAAATCAGGTCACGCTGATCTTCCTG